TGTATGTATGTATGTATGTGTATGTGTATATATATATATATATATATATGTATATGTATATGTATATATATATATATATTTATTTATACTTGTTCTGAATAAGACCTCTCAGTTTCCAGCACTTCCTTCTGGCTATGTTTAGGCATCATGCAGCGACATCATTTCAAGAGAGGGAATAAGATGGAAATTGATCACCTGGCTGGTGTAGTGACAAACGACTCTTTATATGGTCCCACAGTGTGAATCGAAAGATGGTATCGATTTTATCATTCATTTTTAAACAACCGTCATTGTAACATCCTAATGGTTCTTCTAGGCCTTCTATTCTTTCCCATCCCTCCCTTTGGCCTTCGCTGGCAGAGCTCCAACTAGAGCACTCTGTCCCTATGGGCTAATCAGCTGAGCACAGGCCCGTTGGCTGGGCTGTTAGTTCTGGTTGTAATGCAGGCGGTGGGAATGTGTGTGAGCTTCCCAGCCCTGTTTAATCTCTCCTCTCTCTTGAATGCTGAAACTCTGAAGTGCTGCTTTCAGCATCGTGGACCATTGCGAGTACAGCCCCGAAAGAAATATTGAGTGTAGAGCTTCGACAGCACCTGGACACCTGTCTCAAACTTGCAATGGCAGATTCTCAGACGTACCATAGACAGTCCATGCAGATGCATTAGTTTGCATGAAAGGTTCTGCACTTCTCCTGCAGATAAAGTCCGTAACGAGACTCATGGGCTCCAAACAGTTTAGATATTATTAAATATTTATGTTACATTCATTAAGCATTTAAAAACTATTTATAGAGCCATCAGCGAGAGTGGCATGTTTCTCTGTCAGTAGCTGTGAGAATGTAGCGTGGTCTTTTTTTGCTGAGCTCCTGTTAGAGAGAATAAAAGAGAGCGTGCGGACTGTTTCGTGATGTTTTGAGCGGTGCCAGAGCTGTCCAACAGGAGACACAGAGGTCTAGGTGAGCTGTGGATTGGTATGACATTCACAGATGCTTGCTGAAATCCCCATCGCTCAGTTCTGGGAAAGGCAGCAGCAAGGACAGAACGAACTCTGGCTGTTTGTTGCACTGTGTCATACGGAAAACTGCTTTTTACTTAGTCCCTGTGGTGACAATAAACTTTTTCATTCCTTCTTTCTTTCTTTTTGTTTATTTTTTTTTTAACACTGCAGGCCAGGAACAAACACTTTATGTAAAAGCCTCTGTGTTTTTAATCTTTATTTCCTGAAAATAATCAATTCATCATTTCAGAGCATAATTTTTTTGATAATCTATAAATATATAATGTGATTAATACATAACTAAAATGCATTATTTCTGTTCTAATTTGGATATTTTTATTTAAATGGACTTCTGTAACAATTATTTATTTATTATATTTTTATATTATTTATTCTCTAAATGTTTTACTTTATTCTGTAATGTTTATTAACTTATTATCTTCCATACTATTAGAGTAAATATGATTTTATGCAACTTTTTTATATATTTGTTAAATTGACTACACTTTATTTTCTTCTGTACTATTAGAATACGTTTTTCATTTAAACTTTATTTTATTCTGTTCAATTAAAGTAAATATTTGTTCTATTCTGTTCTGTTTTTTTATGTTCCTTTTAAATGACTTTTTAAAATTAATTTAAACCTAGCTCTACTGTAGAAGTTAATTTGTGACTTTATACTGCTTTATAAACTAATAATGGTAATATTGAGAAATGTGTGTGTGTGTTTGTGTGTGTGTGTGTGTGTGTGAGAGAGAGAGAGAGAGAGAGAGAGAACAGTTGCTCATATGTACTCAGCTCCACGTCATAATTGTATAAGTAACTTGAATGAACAGATACATTTTTATAGTATACCTTTCCCTGCATCTAATTTGTTTTTGCCCATCATCTATAACTAGTAAATAGTCTCATTTTGGATTTCAAATGCAGACTCTGAAGAGTATAATTGATCAATTCAGTAGCTCTGTTCACCATGACCTAGACCAAACCACTTTTCATATACTGTAAGGTGAAAGGCATTAGAGCTTACAGTACATAGAGAAAAAGAGAGCGTTGGAGACATTGTGTCCTCGGGTTATGACGAAGACCCACATAAATATGTTCATCTAAGGTTTCAAAACAGAACCCAAGGAACAAAACATGGCCTTGTCCTCCACACTGAATCATTTTGGAAGCATACTGATCCTTGAAGGTATATATCACACACACACACACACACACACACACACACAGCTTTGTTTTCAGTCTTGTTCAGGGGCCTGAAGGAAGGGCCGGTGTTTTCATTTCATATTCATAAATCATTCATACATCTCACCACGTCCGTCCTTTAGCAGCCCTTCGTCTTTATATTGAGATTCCAAATATATTTTCCCATCCACATCACAGATGTAATCCCTCTGCCTGTCACTCTTTCCCAGCTCTCAGCTTTGACGAGAGTGACACATTTATGAGATATTTTCCCTGAGCTCTTATTCTTTTGTATTTCTGAGGCTTTGGCTCTCTAATACAATTAAATAGATGTTTCAGGCTGAGAATGAGGGTGGAGTCCAATTTGAAACGTTAACCCCTCGCCCCCTGGGAAGCAGGTAGCCCTTTAAAGCGGTGGCACTGAAGGTATTTCCAGAGTAAACTTGCTTTTAGGATTCAACTTACATTCAGTTTTGGAGCTTAATTAGACTGTAAGTGTTTTACATAGAGATATGAGATAATTTCAGTATGTGCTGGTGTTAATCTGTGATTTTATTGCCAATTATAAATGGAAATGTCAATATTTTTTTCCCAGGAGAAAATTATAGGCTATGCTTCTGAAGTTTTGTCATTTTAGCAGGGACTCATTTATTTAAGGCTGCATTTATTTAATCAAAAAAACAGTAATATTACTATTTAAAATAACTGTTTTCTTTTAAATTTATTTTTGTGATGGCAAAGCTGAATTTTCAGCATCACTACTCCAGTCTTCAGTGTCACATGATCCTTCAGAAATCATTTAATATGCTGATTTGCTGTTCAAGACACATTTGTCATTATCAATGTTGAAAACAGTTGCTTAATATTTGTTTATATAATAAACAGAAAGTTCACTTTTGATCAATTGAATGCCTCTTTGCTATATAGAAGTGTCCGTTTCCTTTTCTTCAAAAAGGAAGAAAGAAATCATATTAAACCAGAATGTTTGCGTCACAGGTTACTGATATCAAGTCTATCTAAATGTTAAAAACATAAGTGTATGTACTAATGAGATCACATTGGTGCTTCTGTAACGATAGTCATCCAGATGCATGAGTTTTATCACTGAGGAGCCGTACAAATTGTTCTTTATTGGATGTCACCCTGAGAAACAATTACCTTCCGAATAGTGCTTTATATGCTGTTGTTTGTTTGCACTTTCCATGATTAAATATTTTAAGAATTTTTTATTATTTCTTATTAACATTTTTTGCAGTTTTATTATTTAGTTTAAAACCATAGCGGTCATTTTAGGCAGCTTTAAGAACACCCTTACAAACAGCGTTTGATGTCGCACTTGAAATGCTCTGCGTGGGGTGTTCAATAACCAGTTTGGATCTCAGCAAGTGAATGAGAGCGTAGAGAACATCTGGTGTGTGAGGAGACTACAGTTGCTCTTTTAATCACTTTCACTTAATAAAAGAGTGATGGTCTCCTGCAGGGTCGGCCTCACACATCACAAATGGAATATTTGCACACACGCACACATGTCAGATAACTCCTTTTCAGCTAGCCCATCAACACTTTCTGTTTCACTTCTTTTTCTCTTACTCTGTTTCTGTTATAAATTCACAGCCCATCGCATGCAGTGGATACTACACCTTAAAAAATGTCGTGTTTTTTTTTTTATATAATACATATTAGCTACTAATAACAAACTGTTTAAAATAGTTTTCACAAATTTGGGGATCAGGAAGATTTTTTTTTTTTTGTCTCTTATGCTCACCAAGGCTGCATTTATTTGATCAAAAAGAGTAAAAACAGTCATATTGAATAGTGCATGTAATATTATTAATACAATTTAAAAAAAAAAAACAATTCTATTTTCATATATTTCCAAATATAATTTTGGCTGTGATGTCAAAGCTGAATTTTCAGCAGTCATTACTCCAGTCTTCAGTGTCACATGATCCTTCAGAAATACTGTAATATGCAGATTTGGTTCCCCCAAAAATACTTATTATTAGTGTTAAAAGTGTGTGTTTTATACATATAATGCTAGCTATGAAATTAGCCTTTGCAAGAGTTGCCAGTCTTATTCCAGAAATGTTTTAAATATCATTTCCACTACAGAATGTTATCGAACATCATTTGAGATTTTATGTAAGTTACATTTTTTCTTTACAGTGTGTGATTTTTCCTCTGCACATTTTAGCCTGGGCTTCAAAGAGACAGATGCAGTATGTTCTCTTAGTGTGCAAGTGCTTTAATGCTGCTCATTTTGGTCTTTGCACACACGCACATCTAAACCCCTTCAATAACTGGCATACAGTGTCTGTATCGTGTGCACTATCCTCTCAGACCCCCATTAGCTAGCCTCACAGTGTCTCTAGAAGAGGCCATCAACACAACAATGGATTCCACCAGTGCGTGAGTGAGAGACAGGTAGAGATGTAGCCAGCTAAGGCCCTCCAGCATTTCGTATTCTTCATTTACACAGCTTTCAGCTTTAACAACTCACTCTTTCAGTCTCCTCTCTATCCTGGGTTTCTCATGTCACCAGTCACAAAAGCAGCATGGAAGATCAGACCAAAACACGCATAGGATGGTTGTTTTGTCTGAGACACTTTGTAAACAAGGTATCCTCACCTGTACTGTATGTTTTGTTGAGTCTTACACGCTCCTGGTCAATTTATATATCACTCTGAAGGCCACATCCCATCTAAATGGGTCGTCTTTTGCAACCAGAGTTTATGCAGATCATTTGAAGTCTGAATATGTGTGACTCCATGATGATTGACATTTCTAATGTTTGACTGCGTGTGTTCTCTTCACAGCAACAGGAGCAGGACCCCACTAACTTGTACATCTCTAACCTCCCGGTTTCAATGGATGAACAAGAGCTGGAGAGCATGCTGAAGCCCTTCGGACATGTCATCTCCACACGGATACTCCGAGATGCCAACGGGGTCAGCCGAGGGGTCGGCTTTGCCAGGTAACCTTGACAACCGACACTCTCTTTGGCATATGCAAGACTAGCCAGAAAGTTTGTTCAAGAGGATACATATAAAAACATCCCTTAGTTTCTTTCTTTTCCTGCTTTTCTCCCCCTTCTTTTGTATGGCGCGTGTGGGGAGGGTTGGCTGGTTTTCAGGGTCAGTGGCTATGTAAGAGATCCCAGCAGAGGCTGTGTGTGTGTGTACGAGTGTGCCAGCCAGGTAATTAGCCGTTCAGCCATGATTGGGTGAGCAGAGCTGAATGGGGCCGCACACAGGAGAGGAGCCACTCCAGAGAGCACAGACTAAATCAAGACTCCCAGCAGCCCGAAACAAACACTATATAACACCCCTGCCGCTCTTTATTTTCCCTCTTACTCTCGCTCTACCCCTCTCCTCTCATTCTCTAAATTGGATGTTTCTTCAATTACAGGAGCTTTAACATCCCAGAGGTTAAAACTAATAGATCTCAACCTATTTTTGTACAGTATATGAAGATCACATTCAAACTGGGAACATTTTGTCATGCCTTCATCATTAATTTGGGCACTTTTTAAATGAGACTTATTTATCAGTTTATTCAGTTTTAATTGGTTTACCTTTGAACCTATAGACACAGACTTTCAGTCATAATAGGGGAAAAAATCTTATTTTTCTATATATTTCTCTATATATATATTTTCTATAAATCTATATTTATATAAATTTTATATTAAAACATAAACATAGTGAAATAAATGTAAGTAATTTCTGTTTATTTATTTATTGTCCATCATAATTTTTCATAACTTTGTCAAAAGTTATTGTACTTGTAGACCAAAGAGACTAGACGTGTCAGTGAAGAACGGGTTGATATGAAATATGAGACATGTAATATGTGGAGAAAACAAAGAAAAATCGAGGTAAATTTCACTTGTGAGCAGAACGTTGTTATTTTGCATAATTTCTAATCATGCTGTTGCTGTACATTTGTCAGTTTATTCAAAAGTGTGAAAATATTATTTATCGGTGTATTTATTATTCATAAAATGTTAGCTATGAGATTAGCCTCATAATGGAGTCAACCATTTCATTTCAACTGCATAAGGTTATCAAACCAAATTAAAATACATTCTTTTAAATATGGTGGAAATTGCATGTGTTGATTCTGGAGAAAAGAAAAAAAAAAGACAGTCCATTTCCTGTGATGAATTTATGTCCACTGCTGGAAACTGTTAGTAGACCAATTAAAGTAGTGAAAGTATGAAAAGAGTGTTTTAATAGAGTTCATTTTCTACAAGTCCACAGGGCCAAAAATGTCCATAGCTGAAGAAAGTTTTTAGTTTTAAAAAGCTAAATCTGTTCAGTTTTCAATGTGATTTCACTGCGGTCATGACCGTCGACTTTAATTCTGATTGCCTCATGCTGTGTGTTTCTCTTCGCTTCTCTTTCTGTCACAGAATGGAGTCCACCGAGAAATGTGATGTGGTGATTCAACATTTCAACGGAAAGTTCCTCAAAACCCCACCAGGAGTACCAGGCAAGTGTCAACAACACAGTGTGTTTTAACAATATTGTGTCCTAACCAGGTGCAAAGCGATAAAGTGACAATCAACTTGACATTTTGTTGTCTATTTTCACAGCTCTGTCCACAGTAAAATCATATTGCTATGAAGTCTCTCTCCATATAGCTGTATATTAAAGGAATAGTTCAGCCAAAAATGACATTCTGTCATCCCTTACTCTCCCTCATGTTGTTCCAAACCCATGAGTAAATGATGACAGAAATCTCTTTTTTTTATGAACTGTCCTTTTAAATATTTAATATGTTGTTCTGATTTCTGATTTATCAAAATTACACCTGTCTCACTCACCATGTCAAGCTTTAGATATATACTAAACCCCTAAGCTCAGTGCGATCCAAAGCTCTCGTGTGAGGAAGCACACATCCCCCCACTTTGAGTCGCTCTGCTCATCAGCTTCATATGACAGGATCTGATTTATAGGTTGATTAAGGTTTAATTTAAGCCTGGTGTGCCTGAGGAAAACAGTTCCCAGAGGGCAGCAGAATGTACTGCATATACTAGAGACAAACATTTATACTGAAGACAGCATTTAGAACACATTTAACTTACATTACCTGACGTATATCAGAGCGATACAAAATATTAGTGAGATATGAGGTTGATTTTATCTATCCACATTAAATTGGGTTGTAAAAAGTGGGCTGTGATATTATTGGTTGGCATTATTTTTTGGCCTTATTCCAAAATCATTTCAAATGCCAAATGTGTTATTAGATTTGCTGATTTCTTTAAAAGAAAATCTTAACTGACAGCATTTGTGGCATAATGCTGATTACAACCAAATTTCATTTCCACTTGTCCCTCATTTTTCCAAAAAAGTAAACAGGGCCAATCTGTAAACGTTAAAATACTCTCAAAGTTTCAAAGTATAGCCACAAGACATAAACCATATGAATGTTTAAATTATTTTAAAATGAAAAATTTGTTTACTAACCATTTCAATTCAATTTCACAACTTTGTTGCCATGAAAAAATGATGTTGTAAACAATAAAACGAATGTAAAAATGATTTAAACAGCTCACACAATACAAGTTTTAGCCGATGAATTGTGACCCTGGACCACAAAACCAATCTTAAGTCGCTGGGGTATATTTGTGGCAATATTCATGGGTCAAAATTATTGATTTTTCTTATGCCAAAAATCATTAGGATATTAAGTAAAGATCATGTTCCATGAAGATATTGTTAATTTCCTACTGTAAATATATCAAAACTTAATTTTTTATTAGCAATATGCATTGCTAATAACTTAATTTGGACAACTTTAAATGTGATTTTCTCAATATTTTGATTTTTTTGCACCCTCAGATTCCAGATTTTCAAATAGTTGTATCTCGGCCAAATATTGTCCTATCCTAACAAACCATACATCAATGGAAAGCTTATTTATTCAGCTTCCAGATGATGTATAAATCTCTATTTCGAAAAATTGACCCTTATGACTGGTTTTGTGGTCCAGGGTCACAATTAATATAAGCGCTTTTAAAAAATTAAAAGCTTCACATTTCTGCTTAATATCCTCCAAAAAATGGTCCATTCACTTCTACTGTAAGTGCCTTACTATAATTCCCTTTTTGCTTATTTTTAAAGAAAATGATGGGAAATAATTCAAAATTACTTTCCATGGTCTTCGACATTATGCTGATTGAACTTGTATTGAACTCAGAATATTCCTTTAAAGTAACAAACACTTAACAGCCGTGCTCAGAAAGACCAGAGACATTTATTAAGTAAATTCTGTCGCCTTTAACAATGACAAAAACTTTATATCACAGGCGCACACCCAAATGTGTAAACAGTGTTGTTTAATGGTGTAATAGTGCAAAGCTCAGGGTATTTTCCTCAGTAATGTACCTGTGCTTGGTGTTTGTTCCCCTGCTGTTGCGGAGCTTTCTTGTTTCGCTTAGAGAAAAGGCGAGCAAAGGCAACAGAAACAGAGCTGGAGAGGTTAGGATGGATGAGAGAGAGAGAGAATATGCGATTTCTGTTGGATGCATGTAGGTGTGTGTGTGTGTATCTGTCTGTTTTCTGTTTGAAGGAGGCATAGGCAGGGGGGGGGTGATGACAAAAACTTTATATCACAGGCGCACACCCAAATGTGTAAACAGTGTTGTTTAATGGTGTAATAGTGCAAAGCTCAGGGTATTTTCCTCAGTAATGTACCTGTACTTGGTGTTTGTTCCCCTGCTGTTGCGGAGCTTTCTTGTTTCGCTTAGAGAAAAGGCGAGCAAAGGCAACAGAAACAGAGCTGGAGAGGTTAGGATGGATGAGAGAGAGAGAGAATATGCGATTTCTGTTGGATGCATGTGTGTGTGTGTGTGTGTGTATCTGTCTGTTTTCTGTTTGAAGGAGGCATAGGCAGAGGGGGGAGGGGGTGTAAAAGCAACTGACAAGACAGAGAGAGAGAGAGAATAGGAAGAGAGAGATTGGAGAGGGCAGCCTGCAACTCTGGCAGTTGCTGTGTGATTTGTGGGGTGTAGCGTGCGGCTCAGTGTACAGAGGGATGATGGATGATTTCATCTATACCTCTCTCTCTCTCCCTTAAAGTCTCTCTCTCTATTTTCTCAGTACTAACAGACTGCTGGTCAACTCAGTCTTGTCTTTACCTTTACACCGTGTCTTAACCTGGTGCGACATGATAAAGTGACAACTGATAAAAATGTCTTCCATGTAAATCTGAGTTGTTACTAACCAGCTGCGACCACGACTAGCAATGAGCATTTTTCTGTCACTTGGTTTCTATTTCTGTAGCGTTTTCCTGGCCTCGTCCACACTGAAATCTGATTGGTCTGAATAAAATATAGAATAATGTATATTATATGAATATAGACTACCGTTCAAAAGATTGGGGTCAGTTAAATTTTTTATTGTTTTTGAAAGAAGTCTTTTTTTGGCTCACCAGGACTGCATTTATTTGATCAAAACAGTAATATTGTGAAATATTATTACAATTTAAAAATAGCTGTTTTCTATTTAAATATATTTTAAAATGTAATTTATTCCTGTGATGCAAAGCTGAATTTTCAGCATTACTCCAGTCTGCAGTGTCAAACGATCCTTCAGAAATAAAATGTTGATTTGCTTATAATTATCAATGTTGAAAACAGTTGTGCTGCTCAAACGACAATCAAATGATGCTTCAAAAATATTTTTTAATGAAATAGGTATCGCTATGCCTCTTATTAACACACCAAGGAGAGTAAAGACTTAAATGTAATAATTTTCCTGACATAAATCAATCTTATGACTCTAGACGACTTAATATATAGTGTACATTCTTTAAACCATCTATTTTTTTGTGCTCCATGAAAGTCATACAGGTTTAGAGCAACACAAGGCAGAGTAAATGATGACAGAAATTTTATTTTCAGGTGAAATATCCCTTCACCTGAAAAAGAAAAGGCTTCTTCTGAGAAATGAAAGGCAGAGAGTGAGAATGGGGTGATATTGTGCACTCTAAAGTCAGGAATATTTCTGCAGCCGTAGCCAGCCTTCTGATAATGCATTCAGCCTTGAAAAGGAGCCGTGCATGTATTGATATCCAGGTTTAAAGCTCAAAAATAGCGCCTCATCGATTTTCTCTCCCTCCCCTTCTCTTTTCCATCTTTCTATTTCTCTCTCTGTACTTACTATCTAGTAAGTGGATCACACGAGCCTGTGGAATAACTGTGTTTTGCACAAGTGGTTCCTCTTGAAACTTGCTGTGAACTGAAGATTTTCTCAAACAGGTGTAGCGTTATTAAAACATCAGACATAAAAGAAATCAAATCTGCAGTATGCTTTTACAGAAAAACGTTACACACCTGCATCCACCTATGCTTCTTGCACAGATTTTGTTTATTTGAGAAAGAAAAAAGAACCTCGTTTGTCTCTTAAAGGGATAGTACACCCTAAAATAAAAAAAAACCTCTTTCTTCATTTACTCACCCTTATGTTGTTCCAAACCCGTATGACTTTCATGAAGCACTTGCTATCACTTGCTCTGTCGTTCTCCTCGTCTCTCTTGTCTCCATCTGCTGTAGGTGTGTGTTTGCTCGCGTGTTGTCCTGATCCGGCTTACTCAGGCTTTTCTAACAGGCCACGATGGGACCATCAGGCCTGCATGCTCTCATAATTACACAGGCTCTTAGGAAACATGCTGATGCTGGGGTAGATAATGATGACGATCGTGTAATGCCATGACCCCTCCATCATGCACGAGCTCCCTGTCATGGGACGTCCAGTGCTCTTTCCGTTCTGCTGATCTACATGCCCAGCTCAAGCCTGTGGGTTCTGTCAGATCTTGGAGTGCGTTTCAGGCAATTTGGCTGGCATCCTGATCTCGACCTTAATCCGTTTCTTCTTCTTTTTTCTCCCTCTCTTCTTCTCTTCGTCTCACCCTATTCATGAGCAAAGTGACCTGAGGGAAGACTTAATGGTGTGGGTTTGGGAATCACGGCAAGGATGTGCTGCCATAACACTACACACTGGAATGATTTAGCTGATGGTAATTGAAGGTAAAATTTAGATACAGGCACAATTTCTTATTTACTGTGACACAAGAAAGAAGCAGTACTCTACACAAAACTGAAACATAACAAATTGAAAGGGGAATGGGTATATGTAGCAAGGGGTCAAGGTCTGACTGCTTGGTTTGGCCCTGTGAGCCCCTGCTGGTAGATGCCATAACTACACAATCTTGCTCCAAAAAAAACATTTTTTTTCCCGTTGATAGCTGTTCAAAAGCAGCTGTGTATTGTGACAATATAAATATAGAAGCAACTTATACAGTATATCACTAATATTTCAGTATAGCATAGTGAATGTTTTACCATTGCTGTATTTGTTTCAAAAGGCTTTTGAAACCATGATATGGTCTTATTTTTTTCCTGTCTGCTGCCTTTGACATCACAGTTCAGGATGGTTTGCTAGTGAAGGGCTTGGAATTGTCCATGTGCTTGTGTTGCCATTTTA